CTCCGATAAACAGAACGAAAACGTTCGGGTTACAGCCACGTCAATTGCATTTGCAACTTGCAACTTCCATAATTTATTTAAGTTCGGAAACAGCCGACAAGCATTGGAAAACCGACCGCGTTATCAGGGTGATGTATGTGGACATACAGGGCGTTTCACAAACCATTAAAAGATATCTGCATACAAGGGTTGGTCGATATGCTTCTCGTTCTTTTTATACCGAAGCAGCTGTGTATGCAGAAGCCTAAATACCGAGGTACCGCGGCTATAAGGAGCTTAAAGACACTTTGTTAAAACGATTTTAAGCTATCTACGTTTAGATGGACTGGGAAAAGCCTCCTCGGGCAGATTGTTTCACAATCTCAAAACGCAAGGACAAAGGAACACGAACATATTTGTCTTTGAATGGTTCAAACGAAGATTGTGACTACTGCTAAACTTTTCAATTTGGGCAAGATGTTGATTAATTTTATTACTAGCTAGCTACTCCTTAATGAATATAAACTAGATTGTTATTATGATAATGGGTATAGTCCGGTCCGTTTAGAATTCTGAATGTTTTCGAAAATGTTTATTTTCACGCGTAAAAAAGGACAATGGTATTCGGCGTGATCCAATATTCGGTGAAGCGATCAACATAAACCCGAAAATAGCACGTTTTTGACGTTCCGCTTGCATGCGCTCGCTTTCGTAATACGATCATACCTACAATACCCCGCCTAACAGGAATCGCGAATCTGGAGCGGAAATTCAAAATTGAAACTTCAAACTAAAAATATCTGCATATCTTTGAATTTTCTAATCTGCCGAGTTTAAAAAATGCGATCGGGTAACGTGTCGTATGTCGGTTCAATCAGGAGACTTTGGTCTGTAGTTTTGCGAAAAAAAATCGTAGCTATGTCGCTCCGTAACGCAGGTCCGTATCGACGAAGACCAAGTACGCCGAAAAACGGTTGTCATCGGTACCTTTGAGGCGCTCAAAGTTTACTTTTTCGAAATTTGACGGTGATTCTAACGGTCAGAATCGTTTCCTCATCTCATTATCGTTATTTTTCGATAGCTATATAATTTTTACTCGCTCACGTACGGTAGTAATAGGCGAAGACAGAGCCGGATGACAAAGTGACTTTTTCACGCTTCGAAATGTAGCATATTGTCGAGCAATTTTAAAAAATCGAAACTAATAAAGAAGAAAAAAAAGACGCTATCTTTGAGTCCGCAAAAATCGTCAGGTTCGTAGCTCCTTTATCTTCGGAGGAGATCGAAAAAGAACGTCGAACGGCACGAAAATCTACCAATTTTTCAAGTATACCGGCCATTTTCGATCGCGTTTCTTCCTTGCACCGCGACGGCTCTCGCTCCCCCGTAAAGCGCCGACTTTCTAGTTACCGGGAAAAAATCCGGAAAAACCGCGTCGACGTCATACGACAATTTCCGAACCGCTACCAATTATACCAATTCGAACAAAAGATCACCGCTTAATATCGTCGAATCTCGGCAAAAAATTGTATGCTGCATGATTTTACCTGTGTCTCTAAATCTGAGATACATAGTGGAAATAGCAGGGGTCCTAACACAGATCCCTGTGGTATACCCGAACTTTTTTTTTAATTTTTTGGATAGTCTGAAATAGCTGTCGACATAGTCATCACCTAAGTGAAATCGCCCGATGTTTTGAATTTAGCCTACTGAAATCACTGTCAACAATATTCGTGCGAAAAGGTCAGTGGCGGAGTCAATCCTCGTATACAGTTCAGTCCCAAATGATTTGATGAAATTTAATCATCGACCGACAGCCGATGTTTGAAAACAATCCGAGGATTCCCAGGATGCGTAATGCGAACATCCTGACGGGTAAAGGATGCCGAAAAGGGCAGCGGAAGGTCCTATCAATTTGCCTTGGGCTGGTCCTAACCCGTCGGGACGACCGCGTTTAAATTGGGGATGGGAATCAGAATCAGGGTGAGACACGGTGGGTCGCAAACCGTGTTTGATGAGGATGACGCACTCGTTATCGGGCTATTGTGGGACGTGTCGGTCCGTTAAATATTCAAAGCGTTTCTGTAATAGGTAGTATGTGGTGTAGACATAGCATCGGGAAGCAAGATCCTTCCATTTTAACCAATTTATCAAAAGCATATGTCTTTTAAACGAGTATCCATTGCCATAAAATCAAGTTAAAGAAACTATTTTTTCGGTATACAATATGTATACAATAACGCCCCATTTTCGCAAATGCTCATCTGTGTTGTATGTTTTCAGCAAGGATAAAATAAGCACATTAGAAAGACTACAAAATAGGGGAATACGGGTAGTTTTGCGATGGGATAGATATACAAAAATTGGAGACATGTTAAATACTCTACAGCGGTAGTCTGTAAGCCAACATCTTTACTTAAGACCATGATACTTAAATTAAAAATTATAAAAGGAACTTCACATAACACTGATCAACAGCCAAGAAATATCCTAAATAAAATCAACAAAATATTACTATTTTTAGTGTGCTAAAACCGGAATGAAACTTATTTTTTCAATATTAGTTCAAGTTTTAGAGATACGGTAATTATTTGTGTTCCTGCTGTGACAGTGTTAATATACTGTAATTCACAAGAATGCACGTGCTACATTTTTATATTCGGCAAGGAAGGATGATGTGATCGGCATGATTGTGTTACGTTATACATACGTGTACATTATATTGTTTTATATTAGCCATTTTTTCCTCAGTTGGCTGACAGCGTTCATGCAAGATGTCTCGAAAGTGTGTAAACAATCCAGATCAGTTTTGTTACGTGTGTGGTGATGTGACTTTTGCGTCTCAGAGACGGTCTATTACTCCACTAATAACAAAGGCATATCAGCTTTATTTCGGTTGTAAACTAGGTGATCAAGACAAACAGTGGGCACCCCGCATCTGCTGTAATACATGTGCTTCAAGTCTGAGGAGCTGGTTAAATGGCAAAAAACGGTCTGTGCGCTTTGCTGTCCCAATGGTTTGGAGAGAGCCTACAAGTCATATTAATGATTGTTACTTTTGCATGGTACCTTGTGTTGGACAAGCCACAGGTATGTCCAAGAAAAAAAAAATCGGTTATTAACTACCCAAACATACCATCTGCGATGAGACCTGTGCCTCACAGTGACGAAAATCCTATTCCAAAACCCCCAGAATCCTACACTTGCGAATCAGAAAACGAATCAGATCATGACGATCGAGTGATTCGTCAGGAAGAAGATATGCCATCAACGTCAAGAGATCCTGATTTTATACCGAGCACGTCATGCCACCAACCGCACAAAATAACACAGTCAGAATTAAATGATCTTGTAAGAGATTTAGAACTTCCAAAATGTAAGGCAGAGTTACTTGGATCAAGACTGCAGCAGTGGAACTTGTTAGAAGACGATGTTTCGGTATGTGTTTTTCGTAAAAGCCACAAAGACTTAGAATCATTTTTCAATATGGAGAATAACTTGGTTTTCTGCAGTAACATTAACGGCTTACTGGCGGCTTTAAATATAAACTATAACCCAGAAGGATGGAGATTGTTTATAGACAGTTCAACATTGAATTTAAAGGCAGTGTTATTGCATATTCCTGTAGGGTATGCAGTTCACATGAAAGAATCATATGACAATATGAAGTACCTATTGACATGCATAAAATACGATGAGCACCAATGGCATATTTGTGGCGATTTGAAAGTTGTTGCACTTTTACTTGGGCTGCAGCTAGGCTACACAAAGTTTTGCTGTTTTTTGTGTGAATGGGGCAGTCGGACAAAGGCACTTCATTACACCAGACAAAACTGGCCTGTTCGTCAATTCCTAGAGTGAGGTCAAAAAAATGTACAGCATATGCCATTAGTAGATTCGAAAAAAATTTTATTACCACCACTGCAAATCAAGTTGGGCCTAATGAAAAACTTTGTCAAGGCATTAGATAGAGATGGGTCAGCTTTTCAATACCTGCGTCAGAAATTTCCAAGACTAAGTGAGGCAAAGGTTAAAGAAGGTATTTTTGTTGGGCCACAGATTCGAAATATTTTGAAACACTTTAACAGGTATTGAAAAAACTGCTTGGAATGATTTCCGTCTGGTGGTCACTAATTTCTTGGGAAATAGAAAAGCTGACAACTATAAAACCCTTGTCAAAAATATGCTGTCATCGTATCAAAAGATGGGCTGTAATATGTCTCTTAAGATACATTTCCTACACTCACACCTGGACTTTTTTCCTGACAATTGCGGAGCCGTAAGTGATGAGCACGGCGAACGTTTTCATCAGGATATTTCAACAATGGAAAAAAGGTACCAGGGAAAGTGGAATCCTTCCATGCTTGCAGACTACTGTTGGACTCTTGGTAGAGATGCTCCAGAAACGATCCATAAAAGAACAGCAAAAAGACAGCGCATGTAGTGATTCTTAAAGTATATGAATCTTGTAACTTTTTTTAATATATCCTTAAAAATAAAAAGTTTTTTTTCTAAACCGCAACTAATGTTTTTATTTCATTGTCATTTTTGGATTCAGCGCCCCAAAATTAACAAAGAAGTGCACTTTTCCCACAAGATACAATTAAAAAACTAAAATTTGTTGTTCAGTGATAATTGTTCCCTGCGAAGAAAAGATAAAATTCATACCTACTACATCAGAACGAACTTCTATTTTGATTTAATTGAAACCACAATAAAACATCATCTACAGAAGTCTGAGGGAATATAATAAGTTGCCAAATCAAATAAAAGATGCATAGTCTGTAGGTTATTTCAAGACAGCACTTGTCATACATTTGAGAAAAAGCAATGCTCAAATTTAATATAATCAGATTTAGTAGTTTCTTTTTTATTGTTGCTGTTGTGAACTGTGAGTAAATTAGGACTTCTTCTAAGCAAACGTTGTTACTACTCCACCTTTTTACCTACATTTTTGACACTACGAATTTCTATTTTGTTGCAGCACAAAGAGTCTGGTGAGACGAAGCACCATTCCAGGAATGGATGAAGACGACGGAGATTACGCCACCCTCAGAGAACTGCCCTTACCTCCTTCAGCATCCCAGAGGCTGAGTGCTGGGGAAGATACTGCGAGCGAGGAAGGAAAGGTAAAAAAGAAGAACCAAAAATATGCATTTTTACATACATTTTTTTTTCGCGTTGATTGATAGCTAAAGCTTTGATCATTATCTTATTTGGTCAAAACTGACATCGCCATTTTTGATGTCACCGAGGTGACCGAAGCGTTAGCAAACTTTCAATTCAAAACTATGTATATTGATCTTGAACGATTAGTATTCTTAGATTCACTAACTTCTAATGCTTGATTAACAATATACAGGATATTCTCAAAGTTGGCACTTTCCTTTATAGAGCGTAGGCATGCTCCTTTAATAACATACATATATATTCCATTCCAAAAAGCAATAACTGAATATGAGCATCTTCAAGATCCTATTGATACTCCGCGAGTGTACTCACAACGGCGCCGTCTTCCTCGATGTTTCTTTCCATCAGAGCTGCATATGTTTGTTTACAACGTGCAAAAACCGTAAAGTTGAGCACAGTTAAAAACCTGTTGCAAATTTAGTAACAACAATCTCGTGTTTTTGAATTGAACAGCAACAACTTCAAGCAAAAAAGTCAGTACAAAGTGACAAAAAAATCAGGATATAACCGAAAAAACACTGGATGTCGCTAGTATGCTCCAGATCCATTTTGAACGAAATGATACAGAGCACGGTAGCCTATCTTCATGCAGCTAATATTAGCTTCACTGTCTATTAATCTGACAAATTTCCTTCTGCTTCGCTTTTAGCTTCTAGCATGCGTTCACGACGAACACATAACCTACGCTAGCACTAACCAAGACTTTGAGCCACCTTCGGCGTTCGAAGAGCGAAGTCCGTTGCTCGAGGTCGACCAGCAAGAACAGCAGACTGCCATCATACATAGCAATTATGAGAATACCTCAGTAAGTTGAATAGAATTTAAATTTTCCTTCTAGTCAAGGCGGGAATGTCGCAGTCATGGGAGATCTCGAATTTTTTTATAATCACTTAGTGGGAAATTTTCAAAATTTCACAAATCTTCAAAATTTTTAAAATTACTAACATTGTCGGAATTTTTAACATTTTTATTTCAATTTTCAAAGTTTCAATTTTTAAAGCTTTCAAAATTTCAAAATCTCTGAAATTTTCAGAAACTGGAAAATGTTCAGCAAGTTCGAGAATTCCAAAAATTTCAAAATTAGTAGAATAATCAAAACTCAAAATTTCCAAACTACCTAAAATTTTCTAGGCTTCCAAAATTATGAAAATTCGAAAATTTTAAAACAATTGGTGATTTTGAGAATTTAAAAAAGCCGTGCAGAACTCGATAGTTAATTGCGCTTAAACATTTTGAAATAAGAGTTTTCGAAATTTTTGAAATTGTCAAAATTTTAAACATTTTCAAAATATCCAAAATTTGGAGACCTTGCATAACTTTCGAAACTTTTAAAGCCCCACAAGCTCAAATCATGAGGTTACCGGGCGGTAAGTCAAAGCTCTGGAAATTAAACATTTTAAAAACTTTAGAAATCGAAACTTTACATATATTGAAAATGTTCAATTCAAAATTTTCAGTGCTCATATTTTTTAAATTGTCAGTTTTTTCAGAATATTCAAAATTTGCACAATTTTCGGAATTTTCAAAATACTTAAAACTCAAACCGTGAGGTTGCAGGGCAGTAACTCGTACAAGTCTTAAGATTTTCAGAATTATCGAGATTTTTCAAAGCTTTGAAAATTCAACTCATAGTAACTTAAAAAATATCCAAGATTTTCAAAATTATCGGGATTTTCAAAGCTCTTAAGATTTTCAAGATTATCAAATTTGCAAAATATAATCTGTATTTGAAATACCTTGAAAAGTTCCAAAATTATACAAATCAAAATGTTCAAAATTTCAAACATTTTTAAAATATCAAAATTTTTTAATTTTTCAACATTTCAATGTTTCTAAAATTTTCAAAATTTAAAAATTTTCAGTTTTCAGTATATCAAAATTTTTAAAATTCTGAAAATTTTCAAAAATACCAATATCTGAAAAATGCTTAACGGATTCGAGAACTTCAAATATTTTAAGATTTTTAAAACAATCAAAACTCAAACTATCTAAAACTTTGTAGGCTTTAAATATCATGAAAGTTTTCAAATTTTAAACACCAAATTTTTTTTGAATCTTCCACACCTCAAAATTCAACATTTTAAGAATCCAAAAATTTTGGTGATATTGGAAATTTTTAAAAAGCCGTGAAAAATTCGAAAATTTGTATAATTTTACAAACGCTCCTCGAGGAAGGGTTATCGCTTGTGTTAAATCCAGCCAGAGATCGTTCTTCAAACCGCACTCAATCCTCAAGGAACATTCATAAATGTTAGTACATTTTCCCAGACCCAAAGCAGCGCCTCGATCCGGACCTGTATCCGACGCAGCGACTCCGGCATCGTCCAGCCGGAGGATCAAGTAGGCCGCTCCGATTCCATTTCCACCGAGGAGTCACAACACTCCCCACCCGAGCCACCGGGCAGCAACCACAGCGAGACATCTAGCGGCATCCATTCGAACGATAGCGAGATGCATTCTGTCATCATGGCGACCACTACCGCTACGACGGCGGGCGGTAAGTCACAGTCGATGGATACCAACTTGATCAATCTGAACGAGAATCCGCTGGATGGACAGCCGGAAAGCACGGTAAGCATAAAGTGTGGGACGGATAATGGTTACATGTATAAGAATATAGTTTGATATTTATGACTTTTGTAATGAAATACAGATTTTTTTGCAATTATGTAATGAAGACAAACGGATAAAAAAATCGCCAGGTTTGGTGAAAAATCACCACACGTGGCAACCCTGATCAATTTGTAAGTGCATCGATGATGGCGTGGAAATGAGAGGGTTTTGTAAGTCTGGTTGCCTATACGTTCAGCTTGACGCAAATATAAATAAAATAATGATTCTACGTTTTTTGGCTTGGCAGTACTGCATGTCCGTTAGTGCATTATTCAAAATCGAGTGGTGTGTGATTAAGACAGTTAATTGATAATTCAGACATTCGGACAAGAATATAAGAAATGAGATGGTAAATAGGGTCGCTGTTGCTACGATCGTGTCTATTGAGGGTACGCAATTTCGGTCGAGCGAGGAGGGACCACCTGGTGTCTTTGCGGTGGACTATAAAAAACTATATTCTAGGTTGTTATACGGCGAAAGTCCATCCGCCCGAACGCCAAAGAAATAATCGCTCCGACCATCTTGGAGGAAGACCCGTACGGCAGGGCGACCAACATGCGGATGACGTCATTCACCGACAAGAACCTCGTGACGCACCAGTCGTGCAGCGCGACGTTGCCACATTACCCCACGCAGCCTGTGCAGAACGTTTATCCGAATTGTTCTACCATGCCACTGCCGCAACATACTACGAATAACTCCACTGCCAATATGGTCAACGGTCAGTACAATCACAATGTCTTTTTCAAATAATAATTCATTATTGCTGGATGTTCTATGTCACTTAGTATATATTAAAAAAATATGTGATCATGAATCAATAAGAATCTGTTACAATTGGCAACAATGTAGCATTGAAGTTTAACAGCGTTACAGTAGAAGCTATCCAAAACCGAGCCCCCATTTTGTACTTCGTAAGTTTAACATATATCTGGTTTCAATCCCACTTCTGATTTCAGGCAACAGCTGTAACGTCTACCCCCGTCAACACACGACGATTCCCCTCCATCACAACGGGGTAAAGCTCATCCCTAACACCACAAATCACAACCCGTACATCGCAAGAATAACCTCAAAACAGGAGCACATCAAATACGAGCCTATTTACACAAAGATTAACCGGAAGTCTGGGGACTTGTATCACTACAGTTCGTAATGGATGAGTGAGACTGATAAGATAAGGAGGATTACAAGGTGTCCTTGAGCCAGTGTTTACTTGGTTTGAAGGACGTCAAGAATTGATAAGATATGGAGACAGGGTTGTTGTACGCAGATAGAAGACTGATTTTTTTAAGGATATTTGGTACATCATGCGCTAGGTGTGACAGAAAAGTTTCTGCCATACCCTGTATGTCTTGTTTGACCCCAGACAATTGGACCAATCGTACTTTTTTTACAAAAAGAAAAAACGTAAACTGGTAGCAATCCTTGCAAATTTTGCACTAAGTACCAGGCAACCCGGGTAGCCTGGTTGATTCTAGACATGTTACGACAATCTACAAATAAAACAGCTGCTACTTCCCAGCTATAGTTTATTCACTGCATCAAAGTTACTTCACAACGTCAAATAATGACAGTAACGCACATGGTTGCCACATTATTCAAAACTACTAGATCCAAGGAAGTTTAACATTATTTACTTTATGTCTTACAGGATATTACGGAGCGTATGTTTTGTAAACGCAGGAGCTAGTATAAATTCTATTTACTACCTAATACCACTCCTACGGACTGTAAAGGCAATAATGGAGCTTTATGATGTCGTTAGGTCTCAAAATATGTCGTCAAAGAAATACAACAACCGTTGGCGTACCAACCAAGAAAATTCAAACTCTACTTAGGATCTTTTTGCATTAAGGTTGGCATTCAAATTTACTAAATATAACGTATCTGCTTTGTTTCAGTGAATAAACTACACTTATTTGCGCATCATTTACATAGGCTTCTTATCTTATAAATGAGCAAACACTTAAGTCCCTAGCGACCCTAGTTATGCAGGTTGTAATATGAATTTTTCATGTAAAAGCAACGTTGCTGTCAGAGTGCGTTTGTAGTAACAATTGATTTTTACACGATTTAAGATTATTCATTTTAAATGCCAGAATATTGGGGATTCAAAATAAAAATGCTATAGATACAATTTCTATACATTTTATTGCAAACTGCGTACAGAACCACTGGTTCGACAGAGCTGTGCGAGAACAAAAGTTCGAATTTATACCTAGGACTGACATATTGTTATACATATTATCATTTTAGCAAAACAGAACTGCACAACAGTATTACTCATGGATCATTCCGTTTCATCGTATAAAAAATACTAGTTTACATCCGTTCTCAACCAAAACGAAAAATGTCACATTTTTGATATTTTTCAAAGAGCGTTCACTCAAGGTACCATTTTTCCAGGTCAATGCAAACTTACGTTATGAAGTTAAAATAGTATTGAGCTTGAGACTTCACTTTGACTTGGATACCATTGTAAAACATCGGATCTTATTCTTCAAAAATGGACCATCATCTGTAAACTAGTCATATCACCAAAACCAAAAAATGTCACTATATCATCTATAGTAGCTGAGGGTAATATAATATTAGTACCCCCTGGTATAAGCGGTTCTTTACCAACATATTTTGTACTACCTGTAGGCAATTTTATACAAGAATGATCTCTATATCTTTGTGTATAGTGAAAAATCGTATATCACTTATCAAAAAAAGCACACGTACTAGTCGAGACCATGATTTTTCTTCGTCTTTAAAAGTATTTTTGTAGGCAATGACGTAAAGGGCAAGTCTTGAAAAAAAAGAGGAAATGGTCGCAAAAATCACTTTAAGGAAAGAGCAATAAAATATCGAGTATTAACAGTAATAACAGTGTATTTTCATCTAGGGAATACTGCGTTTTACTTCTATCGCCACCGGCGATGAGATGTTATGTTTTTTTGAGGCGTTCAAACTTTTGTTAGTGTCAGATCCTCTAGATCATGTTCAGAAAAAATGTATGAGAGTTTAGAATCGGGGGTTGGGGGCTGTGGGGGGCATATATCTAATGTTATATTTATACGCTAGCAATTCCTGCAATTTTACGTACTTATTAGAGATATTTCACGTATCATAGATTTTCCCTTACCGGCGATGGTGATGGTCTCGATAAGTGTCCTGCCATTAATGCAGCTCAGCCGCGCCTGACGCATCTTGCGGTCAGGTATGGGGAAAGACGACGTTGCCAGATGTACGGTATTACCGGTAAATCGAAGAAATAATGTCGATGAACTAGTTGTATGGACCTGTTCAACTGACTTGATCCGTTTAAAACTTTTTCCTAATCAACCTACTTGACATCATTTTTCAATAGCTAAAATGGATTAACTACACCCACATTGTCCTCGTTTCGGCAGAGGATTTATGAACTGCACTAACACGAACTTTTATAATCTCCAAATATTAATGAGCTCTGGATTTAATCGACCGTCTCTTTTCTTTCAAATCTCACCCGACCAACCTTAAGCTAAGCTGATTGTTAGGTGACATGCCCGTACGGCTTATGGAAGTCCAGACGCTTCCCCGGGGATTAAATCAAATCTAAATTTAATTTAGGGACTAAAAGGACTAAACGGATAACGTAACGCAGACTCAAGAAGTAATCGCTTGTAGAAGATATGGTTTCTTTGCCGCAAATATCATGTTACGACACGAACATATCCTCTTAGGTTTACTTACAGTTAAGTACCAGGTCCACACAAGGCAATACGTAATCAAGGGGTATTGGTGTATTTTGGAATAGTCTTTATTTTGTGATCAGTGAAGGATTCTGTCGACAACACTGCTTTATTTCCTCCGATCAACAGAGGGCCTACCGTGTACAGCTGTTTCATCCTCATTGGCAATCATCAGCACAGTCTAGGCTTGGTCTATCGTTAAAACAACAGAGCAAAGTACTGTGCCATCTATTACCAGAATCTATGACTACGAGATTGGACCAACGAATAGCACTCGCCCTTTTAAAAAATAACACTGAAAAAAGGATTTTAGATCGTAAACTTGCTTCTTCTGCCCAGTCTGAATTCATTGATTGTGACTGTAGAGTACCTCAGTTAGCGTCGACAGCCGAGTCAGCTTGTGACCGCGAGATGCCGATATCGCCAGAATCGACGGCATCAAGCGGTCACTGCGGTGACTGTCGATGCGAACTGAGATATCTCACAGTTCCAATAGATAACTGCAGCTTACTCTTTTGGATCTTCTATTGTCAAAGAAAATTGTAAACACCAATACCCGTAACTCAAAAAATCCGAGCTCAAAATAGGAATAGTTTTCACTGCCAATAGCGAAAGCCGTCCGGTTCAATAGGACGATAAAAAACGTTTGGACTTGGATATGTAAATATATTTATATCAATGAGATAACCCTCCTATGTGTCGGTAACCTACTCACAAATTAGACCTTTTTTAGCGGCAATGCTATTGCATCTATGAGTGACGCTACTATTTCTACTCTGTATGTTTTGGAATTAATTTTACGAAACCGGTAAATATAATTATTGATTAAAGCGGAGTGAACTAAATGATTATAAATTGACATCGTCCTTTGTGGATGGAAATTCAATCTGTCACTATTTATTTACAACCGATAACACTTTACAGGTTGCGGGTTATCCACGTTGCGAATATATTAAATTTCCAAACAAACATTTTCCTAAACCGTTGATCAAAAGCGGATATATAATCCAGTATATACTGCATCCAACGATAACATAGACGCTTGTTCCTGTCAGACACTACTGACAAAACGAAATATCATTATTTCGAGTATCTGACATTTTTCAAAAAATGTACGCAGGATGTCATCAAAGTTGGGACTTTCATTTCAGAACATATAAGTCGGACATATACCAAAGGCTTAAAGTGCACAAGATATTAAGTAAAAACTCTAAATAACGTCCTAAGGATATGATGTTTTGTGATGTTATGCCCAGTGTTGCCACAGGTGGGTCTTTAGGGCCAGATGAGACCCTTTTTAAGACAGTGTCGCCCTATTCCCTCTTTTTGAAAGTTAGCATATTAAACTTGAGTTTTTTGTTTGTTAGTATCAGATGATATATAGTTTTAAACTGGGTTTTATTATAACTTTGGGCTTCAAAAGTGCTCAGCTTTAATAAAAAGTCTTAGGCTGTAATAGTTATTTTTTTACCAGAATTATAAAATTGACTCGGGAAATAACAACTGTGATAAGGCTCCCATAGAAATTTTGCCAATACTATCATTTTTGAGATACCTATCAATCAAATTGTCATGTTTGACATAAAGCACAACAGCGCTGCAGTGGTCTGAATGCGCCAGGTGTGAAAAGTACATTGCAAACAAGTATATCGGTGAGTTGACCTAAATTTTTCAAAAAAAATATGATTTGAAAACTTGATCTGGCCCTTCTTATACGTACAATCTGGCCCGGAATTTTCAGAGCATGTGGCAACACTTAGTATGGCTATGTCAGTTAGTATCCAAATCAGGCGCCACGCGGTCTGTAGGTTAACCTAAAACCGAAATTGGCACTGTTGAGATATTTCCTATCATTCATCAAAGACTTTTTACACAACTTGGCAACACCGCATTTAAATCCTCTGTCAAACCATCAGTCAGAACATGAATGCCGAGGATAGAAACCACTCGTCAAATGTTATGTCAACAACAAAGGTAGAGACGCGTCACCTTAGAACCCATTACAATTTTTAAATTATTTTTATTTTATTATAATTATCGTATTGATCCTCCGCGTGTATACTCAGAACGTCACCATTGTCCTCGACGTTCCTTTCCATCAGAGCTGCGAACGTTTGTCTATATCGTTGCAAAAACCCTGTGGGTGAACGCAGTAGAAGTCCTAGATTAATTTAGGAAGAAGAAAACAAAGTAGCATTATTCAATCGAACAACGACGACTTGAAGCAGTAATTAAATTACGAACAAAAGGGTACTTGAAATGCCGTACCAAACAACGAAAATACCCTGTATAATGTCAAAAAAAAACGAAAATCGTCAACTTGCTGGCTCGATAGTTCCTGGTGTGCAAATAATTCATTCCGCTCTAGCGCTGTGAACGTCATCCATGAGGAATGACAGTTCGCTACCATGCTTTGTTGGTTGCAGAATGAGTATGTTTCTGAAAAGATACGTAGTACCTCTGCGGTTCTGATTTACTGTAAATTAACTTTCTTACTTTAAACGTAGGAAAGAAGGAAAGTCCCAACTTTTAGAGAATCCTGTATGAAGCTTATTCCAATAGATACATAAGAAACATATTTCCAACTATAACCAATTGACAAACTATAATATAAACGTTCACATGTTATTAACGATATTTAACAGTCAATATTTAGACTATCCTTGGATGCAGTTTAAAGGTATGTCACCTGCATTAAACTAAGACACAATCGACCATTTCATCACGCAGAAACAATAATATCCTTCACCCATATCACATTTTTTATAATCGATGGTACTTTTTTAGCTTCGTGAAAACAATGGAAACAATAATGGTAGACTTGATATAGCTTTTATATGAAAGTAAATATGATATTGTAATATTTCATAAATGAATGTGATGCTCACTTTGTGTATATCCATATTGGTTGTCGCTGAAGCCAATTATACAATGATAGGTTAGTGACTAAATGTAAGAATTTTTTAGTTTGGTTCAAGGAATATAGGCACCACATCAGCTTTTATTCGTCACAGAAACTTTGACACCACCAAATGGAGAAACTGCTTTAAAGGTGTAGCGATGTTATACACTGAGAAAAACGTCTAATTAAACCAAATAAAATTTTAGTTGAGTCAATTAAAAAATTTAATTAACAATGTGACAGCTAACAGATTTGATTCAACTCCGATTGCAAAAGCAGTTTACTTGAATTTATGAAACTATTTTAATGTAATCAAAACGCAATCGTTTACTTGAATTTATTAAACCGTTTACTAGAATCAATTACACCAGTTTACTTAAAATTAGTCAACCAATAAAATCAGTTCTCCTACTCTATGCAAAGCAATTCAATTATATTTATTAAAATTGTTAAATTTTAATTCAGTCAGTTAAGAAATTTAATTAATAATGCGACAGCTACTATCTTTAATTAACTAAATTAATCTCCGGTATACTTGAATCTATGAAACTAGTTTAAGTGACTCAAAACGCAATCGTTTACTTGAATTTATTAAACCGTTTACTAGAATCAATTACACCCGTTACCTTAAAATTAATAAACCAATAAAATCAGTTTACCTACTCTAAGCAAAGCAATTCAATTATATTTATTAAAATTGTTCAATTAGTGTAGGCGAAAGCATTTTTCATTTTGAAAAAGAAATTTAATTAAACCAATTGTTAAATTTTAATTCAGTCAGTTAATAAATTTAATTAATAATGCGATCGCTACTATCTTTAATTAACTAAATTAATCTCCGATTTCAAAAACAGTATACTTGAATCTATGAAACTAGTTTAAGTGACGCAAAACGCAATCGTTCACTTGAATTTATTAAACCGTTTACTAGAATCAATTACACCAGTTTACTTAAAATTAATAAACCAATAAAATCAGTTTACCCACTCTAAGCAAAGCAATTCAATTATATTTATTAAAATTGTTCAATTAGTGTAGGCGAAAGCATTTTTCATTTTGAAAAACGAAATTTAATTAAACCAATTGTTAAATTTTAATTCAGTCACTTAAGAAATTTAATTAATAATGCGACCACTACTATCTTTAATTAACTAAATTAATCTCCGGTATACTTGAATCTATGAAACTAGTTTAAGTGACTCAAAACGCAGTCGTTTACTTGAATTTATTAAACCGTTTACTAGAATCAATTACACCCGTTTACTTAAAATTAATAAACCAATAAAATCAGTTTGCCTACTCTAAGCAAAGCAATTCAATTATATTTATTAAAATTGTTCAATCAGTGTAGACGAAAGCATTTTTCGTTTTGAAAAAGAAATTTAATTAAACCAATTGTTAAATTTTAATTCAGTCAATTAAGAAATTTAATTAATAATGCGACCGCTACTATCTTTAATTAACTAAATTAATCTCCGATTTCAAAAACAGTATACTTGAATCTATGAAACTAGTTTAAGTGATTCAAAACGCAGTCGTTTACTTGAATTTATTAAACCGTTTACTAGAATCAATTACACCAGTTTACTTAAAATTAATAAACCAATAAAATCAGTTTACCCAATGTAAGCAAAGCAATTCAATTATATTTATTAAAATTGTTCAATTAGTGTAGGCGAAAGCATTTTTCATTTTGAAAAACGAAATTTAATTAAACCAATTGTTAAATTTTAATTCAGTCACTTAAGAAATTTAATTAATAATGTGACCACTACTATCTTTAATTAACTAAATTAATCTCCGATTTCAAAAACAGTATACTTGAATCTATGAAACTAGTTTAAGTGACTCAAAACGCAATCGTTTATTTGAATTTAATAAACCGTTTGCTTAGATTGATTACACCAGTTCACTTAAAATTATTGAACTATTAAAATGAGTTTACTTGCTCTAAGTAAAACAATTCAATTATTTTTATTAAATTTGTTTATTTAGTGTGGGTAAAAGTATTTGCCTAGCTTTTATGAATAATTTTGAGAAATAAAATAAATGAGGCCAATTGGTAAATTTTATCCATTAAGAAATTTATGCGACCGCTAATATCTTTAATTCGCTAAACTATTCTCGGATTTCAAAAACAGTTTACTTGCATCTATGAAACTAGTTCGGTTGAATAAACGTAATTGCTTTCTTGAACGTATTAAACCATTTACTTAGATTGATATACCCAGTTTAGTTGAAATTAATGAACTATTACAATGAGCTTACCTGCTCTCTAAGTAAATCAATTCGAGTATATCTATTAAATTTGTTTAATTAGTATAAGTAAAAGTATTTGCCTGGTTTTCAAGAATCGGTTTGTTTAGATTTAAAATTATATTTGGAATTTAAAAACAAATTGCAATTTTCTGAATGATGGATATCATGACTGTGCTAAAATCAAAAAACTGTAAACACTTGAAATTGATATTCTCAGTGTGAACACAACTGAATTGTGAGATTTCAGATCCAACATACTTTAATTTTTTGCATCCCAAACCACAGACTTAATTTTATTGGACAGTCTCTTCTCTTTGCCATTCTTATTTTATTCCTTTATTCTCCTTCTGTCCTTGTCTCATTGACTATCTGGTATCTGCGAAACCAAACCGGGTAGACTTACTGATCTACCAGATTTAATAAAGAAAAAAGCTCGTACAAACTGCCCTAAATGAGTGAGCGATTTCTTATTTTGTTTTGATCTATATACGGATCTTGAAGAAATAGAACGAGATAAAGGAAGAAGTTACGCATAAAAGTAGGCAATGGATTATACAATTCTGTAGAACTATTCGTCAGTTTTTAGACCTTACGTGATCTGATGTGCGGCCTATATTCCTACATCTGTTTCTAATTTTGGTCCAATCGATAAAGACGGAAGAACAGAAGATTTTAGTTGTTCGACGTAAGGCAAAAAATGCATACAAGGGTCTAGAGAATGTTATCAACAAAAGAATTATTAAGATTGGCTATCGTGTTTGGCGAAAAACCGTACGCTACTGGTTATTGCAAACAAGTGTATCTGTATATTAAAGCCACATTGATTCTTCTTAAAAACTGTCCATTTAAATTTTTTGTTCAGATATATCGGTTTCAAAACTAAAATTACTTTTTTACGGCAATGTGTTTATCGTTAAAAATAATCGACTTTTGCACTTTTTTTTCCAACAAAAATAACGAAAAACTACATGAGACTCTTTTCCTTGAGAATCGATATGGCTTTGAGAAATAGACACTTATTTTAGCAAAAAAAAACTAATGGTGTACGCTTAACATATTCTAACGTTCCATACGAGAGCAAGGGCCCATGAAAATGAACTTTTACGTGTTGAAACCACACTTAGCTTTATTCATTCTTCTTCTGTCTTCATTGATCAGAACAACACTGTATGTTTAATCCTCTATAAACAAAATGGCCGTCTATGAAGCATACCCT